CAGGTTTTCCTGCTTTGCAGTCTACTGCATCGTGATAGCATCAATTACTTGTTGAGATATGCCATTGGTTTGGGTTTAACTAATGGTCTCAACACCGTGGAGGCAGCGCGAAATAGGTTGTTAACAATGGTGAGTAACCTCAAAGACTCTTGTTTGTTACTTGATAGTAACATCAATGACCAGTATGTTGATATGCATGATCTTGTTTATGATGTCGCCATGTCAATCGCTTCTACTTACAATCACGTCTTTGCATTAAATGAGGAGGATGTTCTAAAAGATTGGCCTGATGGAGAGACAGTGAGCGAAATATTGTTGTTGTCAACTGAGCTTAGAGTGGTCATCTCGACTTTGAGACATTGAATGGAAACTTTATTAACTCTGCCCAATTATCAGATTGGCTTTAGAATTGTTTGATTGGGGTTGAATAATCTGTGGTCATATCAGTTTTGTGAAGTTAACTCAAATTGAGTTGTGCGGAGCTGGTCTTCCCTCAGTAAAGCTTCATCAAAACTGCTCTTTCCATTGCGATCTGATGTTCTTTAATTTTTACGAAGAGATTTTGCCCTCCTATGTAAAAATTTCCAGTTGCTCTTTGCCATAGACAAACATCTTTGTGATTTTTTCTCTCTTCTTTGTTGCAAAATGAATGACCTTGCTCTGCAATATATGGAGCATTCCTCTGCTTTAGCCCAATTCCACTTCCTACAAATGTTGCATTTGAATTCTTGCTATTTTGTGAATTGAATTCCAGACAGATGTTGAAGTTTTGCTAACTTTTGTTACTCCCTCAGTTCCGCCCTTTTTTTTTTAATGGCTAATCAAAGTCAGATGGTTTTCCACGATTTCTTTAGTTGCTAACAATCCGCACTGTCTTCGTTTTTCTTTTTTTTTTTTCCAAAGTACCATTAATTTTCTCTTTAAGATGTATTAATATATATTTTATTTATTTGTCCTGCAATTAGTGTTTTATTTTGAATTTTTTCAGTCTACTATATTCAATTTTGACTATTAAAATTTAATTATAAACCGTTAGTAATTAAAATTTGAAAAAATGCTCTTTCACAATTTTGAATAAGGTAGTTTTCAAGTATAAATTTGTTAAATTTAAATTCCATCAAAGGATTTAAAATGATTAAAGTCAAAATTGAAAATATTTGATCACAAAAAATTAAACTAAGATGGGTATTATATAGGTTAGAGAGAATACCGCATAAAGGATATTATCTTTTCCGAAATAATTTTATATTATATATATATATATTAAAATCACTTAAAATATTCAAAAACTTCTTACACCAAAATATCTTGGATCTAAAGTTAGTTAATTTGTTCACATTTAATGTTTCTTTTTTTAATTTTATTAAATAAAATTAATAGTTTTTTTAATTAATAAAAGTCAAAGCTGAAAATATTTCATCACAAAAAAAAAAATTAAAGCAAGACTGGTTCAATGTTTTATTTCACAGACACACACACAAAAGTTAAAAAAGGACGGGTCATTAAGAATAATAATATAAATTCAAAAAAATAAAAAAAATATAAAATTGAGTTAAACAGGTGAAATTATTTTATTATTTTTATTTATATTAATTATTAAATAAAAATTATTTTAAAGGTATTAAGAAAACTTATAAAAAAACAAAAAAATTTTATATAATATGTAAAAGTTTTTTTAAAATTTTGGGGGTCCATGCTATAAGTAGGCTCGACCCCTGCGTGAGAGGGGAAGGGGCTTCCCTGGCTGGCTTTTTACTTTTGACTTAACAGGCATAAACAATGATGAAGATATACAATACTTGCTTTCTTTATATGTGATTCAAGTCAAGTGTCAATCATCACAGCCATTGAAAGTGGCATCACATAA